GTACTACATGCTATCAAACATAACAATTCCCCTCCATAACATGGAATTAAATACATTTACCTGCAATTCTTTAACTGTCTTTATTCCTCTCTTCATCAATTTATATTTTGAAATCCAAAATATTTTAAATAAATATGACTGTTGGTTTGATGTATTTTCAATCCTCAATTGCTCCAGTCTTCAGCCTCTGATGCCCTCAGAGAGCAACCGAATGAATGTATCGTTCCTTTTACAGACAGACAAAAAGTTGTTTATAGGTGAGTGACTTTAAGACAAAGACCAAACTTTACTGAAGAAGTTATATAAAATATATAATGTAATAATAATTATGATTAAAAAGTCCACATAAATAAAAGTATTTGTAGTTTCTTTCTACTGAGCTGATCAAACCAAAGATAGCTTAAGAAATATCCCAATCATCCATCCATCCATCCATCCATCCATCCATCCATCCATCCATCCATCCATCCATCCATCCATCCATCCATCCATCCATCCATCCATCCATGTCACATAATTTTCAGATATATGACTGTACTTTGTCACAATGTTTGCCTCTGTAGTTTTTCTCTACCTTTATTTCCAGAAACTACCTTGAAAAGCATTTTTTTTTTTTGTAAAATTGGTTGTTTAAAAACAATTAAACATTTCATCAAAAAACTTTTAGTCCCACTAAAAGAGGCTATGGTTTTTTGTGACTTTTTCAGGAAAGTCTGTTTTATGGCCATATGTAAGGCCTTTCTTTTCATTGAAGCAACTGGCTTTAAAATGGCCACAAAAAAAGCAGGTAAACATTACATGAACCTGGAAAATGTACTTTTTTTATCCTCAAAGTTTTAATTATATTTAGCAGTCTGCCCTTAGTTTCAAGCTGCAGGGTTTGTAATGAAAACAACTGCATGAGGTTTATTCTCAGCAACATCCTTTGATTGCAAATGTCACACTTTCGATCGTTTACAATATCGGCTTAATTGATGGAGAGATAATGGAGGAATAGCCCACGCAAGAGCATGAAATGGCTTTCTAGTCAATTATCTAATTAAAACTGAACTCTAGTAAAACGGCGTCCTTCATACCGAACAGCAATAATGCCTCAACATTTCATCCAGTCTAAAATCAAATCTGAGAGTTAAATTATCTTTTGAAATTACCAAATATACCAAAAAGTTTTAAGCATTTTATGCCAGCAAGATGTTGTTGCTTGTTTTTTTGTTTTTTTTGCCCTTTGTAATGAAAAGAAAACAAAGGTTGCTAATTCCTTATGGAGTCTCTATTGACTAAGATATCGACTTTATACAGCTCTTAAAGCCAGACATCCCTGTACTTAGGAGCACTTCACTGAATGATCTCTAGGCTTTCCCAGGCCAGGAGGGAGTTATGAACCCTTTTTATAAAAATATCACATTTGCATGCCACTGAAGGGACAATGTGTGTCAGCCTATATCAGCTCTGCAGCAGACTGGCCTTTAGAAATATCAGGGGATTTTCTGATTGAATTGCTTTATGAATGGGCCAATAACCTATGCCATATTAAAATAAATAGAAAAGGCTGTTCAGAATTGACTTATTTGAGCATTTAGCGACTAAGTACGCCATAAAGGTGCTCCGTTTTAATGGTCTCGCTTACTCCAACTTGGAAGCAAACACAGTCCTTTGATGGTACTGATCCGGATCAATCTGGGATGTAACTAAGAGCTGAGAGTAATTGGATAATGGAACCTAAACAGTAGCTAAACTGAAAGATTTAAGGAAAGGCGCCATCGCATTGAAGTTCTTAACATCACAAATGTTTTGGTGCTGCTTCTACTTCTGTCAGCAAGAGAGGAAACAATAGCTGAGGTAAAAGTCTCAGAGGGCCAATTGCTTTGGATCAGACAGTAGAGGTAACAGCAACGATCAACGAAATCTGTTGATAAAGCCAACAAAGCGCCTTTACTAAGTCTGAAAAGAGAATGATATATTGCTATGAGAAAGTATTTCTCCCTAAAAGATGTCATACTTAGATTTTTAAAATGAAGGATATCATTGATGGTGAAGACAAAATTTAACCTCAGTATAATGGAAAAGGAACTCTAAGCCTCCTGTAGCCCTTTTCAGGACTAATAGGAATTCGCTTCTTTTTGATTTTTGATTTTGATGTGACTTATTGCTTTTAGAGATGTTTTAGCCTACTTCATGATGTCTAAGGGATCTCTTGATCCTACAGGCCAACCAGTTATCAGATAAGGGTGCAGGTTGTGAAAATGAACCAAGAAAATGCAGATACTGACCATTAATGTGTGATTCAATAAGAGCCCAGTAATATTTACACAAAGAACCAGAATGGAAGGATAGATTTCTGATCCTTTTTGCCTACATCTATCAACATCTATAGCATCTCGCTGCCCATGAGTTACCACAACATTTAATTTCCCTTTGTGATTAACAAAGGATTTTTTAGTTTAATTGAATAGATTTTTCAACTCAATAAAAAAATATCAGTATTTGAAAATCAACATTTTAATTCACTTAGGTTATTGAGTTCCTATATTAAAATCCGTTTGACCACCAGACATTTAAATGTGACAATAGAGAAAAGAAATCTGCAATAAGAAAGTAATTCATCAGGATCTCAAGAAAATGTTAACTGTCCATTGGTTCAGGGTAATTAGGTAGTTTCTAAGTAAACTGGAACTGGTCTATTCACGGTGAAAGAGCTATTAATTGTCTCCTTCAATGTGCAAAGTTTGACAAACTGCCAAAGTGCCAGACTTTGCTCTTTGGCCAGAGAAAACCAAAATAGAAAATATCTGGCCATTATTAAAAGTGCTGCAATCCAACCACAGTGGCAGAGGGATGGTTTAGGAAATTTATTTTGATTTCACAGGAGCTGAGCCAATAACAATGAAACTATCCACAAGTTTTCCAGAGTCAAACCTTAAGCCATCTGTCAGACATCTGAGTCTTCGTAGAGAGAACAGGGATTGTATTCAAAGCACCGGAGTAATCCAACAGCAGAGTGTCGAACAAATGGAAAAAAAAAAAAGGAATTATGTCTTACAATTTGGCCAGGCCAAATTCTAGGCCACAAGCTGATTGCAAAGCTTTAGGGAGGATGAGAGGCGAATAATTGTGTGAACAAGTGCCACAGATTGCTGTTAACTGAAGCCTGGATGGAAAAAAACAGTTCCAATTTCTTCTCAAAGTTTAAAAAAAATACTTTACTTTTTTTTTTTTTTGCTACTGGGGGATTTTGCAAGCTATTGAACCAGGTGTTGATGATAGTTTTTACATTCTGCTTGTAAATTTAGTTTTTTATTAGGAAAAAAAAAGGAAGAACAAAGAGCTTCAATGATTCTAAATGCCTTTAGGGTCCCTGGTCCTCTGTCCAGCTTCATCTCAATCAGCTTTAAATCCAGACTTTGACTTGACCCCAATTAAACCTTTTTGGGGTTGTTATTTAGCCAGTCAGGGTCGGAATTGCTGTGGTGATTCGGATCCTTACTCTGCTGATCTATCCTGAAGTATTTGAGGTTCAGATCTCTAACTGCTAGCATTTTCTGATAAAAAGCTAGATTTTTGGTTCAATCAGCTAGTAGAGCAACACCAGACCTCCATGTCTGACTATCAGTACTGTTCTTGAATGCTGCTTTAGTTTTACATCACATGCAAACCTTTTTGAAGCTCCACTTTTGTCTGATCTGCCCACAGAAGGTTGATCCAAATTTTTGCAGGATTATCAGAGTTTTTTTGTTTTTTTTTGTCTCTTTCTTAATACTGAATCCTGCTGAGATAGTTATTGTTTTTCTTTCTTGGGGACTTCCTAAGTGAGTTGTTGATGAGCTGTTTGTGTAATAGACCAGCTCACCTGAAAGGGTTCACCAGTATTCATTGTTTCTCCATTTATAAATCACAAAGGGTTAGGGATCCAACTCCATAAGAAAGGACTCATGAACCCTTTCCATCATGTTGTTAACCTTTTTATAGATAAATGTCAGGTTTATGTATTTAGAATTAATAAAGTATAGTTACTCATAATTTATTCTAATGTGTGTATTTATCATTTTATTATTTAAATTTCATAATAATCAGGGTACCTTTAGGCAATCCAAAGATTCAAATGTATCTATTTGAAATAAACACACTCATTAGTAATTATTTTGAGTAAGCATATACTAGATGCATAAACCCGATGTGTATGTATTTCAAATAAATAAGATTTATTATAAAATAAATATGTATTATTAAGATTCTTTGATAGGTTTTTGTTAAATTCATTTTAAAAAGTAAACAGGAATTAGTTATGTATAAAAAATTAGATAAATCGTGAAATTTGGATGAAATTGTTTTGTGTTGAGTATAACATTAGCTGCAGATTAGCTACTGGTTTGGAAATATGTTACTGTGTTATAAATTAAAACCTTATTTGCAATTTTTTATTTTTTTTTTATACATATTTACCTAACTACTCTGACATCACATATAAATGATAAATGACACAGTGCTTAACCCTAGGTGGGTTATGCTGATCGTGCCTAACCACCATGGGCAGTTCTGGTACAGTGGCCAATGGGGGGCCAGTGTCCCTATAGAACTGGTCCCTTTACCAAAGACTTAATGCAGAATAAAATAATGATTAATAAATTATGATAACCACAATGCATAAGTGCCTTCGACTAATCTATTTTTTTTTTTGAACAATTTTATTTAATTCATTATTTTAAAATTACGTTGTTGCACTTTTAACTTTAGTCATCTTGAGATTCCAAAGCTGAAGATGACTCTTTTGTTCACATAACCAGAAATTACATTTTTGCCATTTTTTTTCCTTTATTTGCTTCATTCTTTTGCTTGGTGCCCCCATAAAAAAAAACTGCCCACCCTGGTAAATTTAGTCTAGAACCGCCTCTGCCCACCGGGGTCGTTGGAAGCGGGTGCCCCCTCCTCCCTCCCTCCCTCCCCCCCTGCTGTCCACTGAGGACGCAGCCATGCCGCGCTGTGACGCTCCGCAGCCAGGCTGCAGCTGCTGCTGCTGCAGGCGCCTCTCATCATCCGTCTTCAGCGCCTGACGCACAGGGGATGCGCCATGAGTAACTCCCCGCGCTCCTCACCGGCACCTGGCTGCGAGAGAAGCGTGCAGAAAGCGGAGCTCAGCAGCCGCAGATCTTGACTTCATAGATTGTGGTTAGGAAAACAGATAACGGGCTCCTGGCATCTCCAATCACTTTGAGCGGTGCTGGAGTCTGCAGCTCTCTGGAAGTAAATGTGAGAGGAACTGGACTCTCTAACAGGTTGTTCAGATATTCTTCACTCTAAAAGGTAAGCTCTGTTAAATTATGGCTTATGGCTTAATGGGAGAATATGTAAATAACCTATAAAAATCTTTTAAAACATTATTGATCATGTTGTTATTTTTTTTTTTTTATTTAAATGTAAGGACCTGTACAGTTCTTGCATAAGGTGCTCATTAAATAGAGGTTGAGTAATTGATCAGCATGAGAGGAAGGAAAGGGAAAATAAAGTAGAATGATTTTTTTAATTAAACAAGCATATACTGCACTAATGTGATTATACTGAGGTACAAACCTTCATAATTAGTAAATATGAGCAGATATATTATTCGTATTATAGGAACTGACATACTAAATGTGCAGCAGAAGGAAAGCTCAATGCAGAGCTGATAAATGACTTGATAGTGATAAATGATGGGATGCACTCTGCATCCTAATGAAGACAGATCCACGTAGGTGACTCTCTGCCCCTCACCTTGGCTCAGTCCAGCTCAGCTACTCTAGCTGCCGGGGTCGGAGGTGTCTCTTGACATCATGGTTAAATGTGATCTCATCCCCCCTTTCTCTCCTCCTTTACAGGGGCTCTAGGAGCACAACCAAGGATGCTATTTCCCAGATGGTGACTTCGAAAGGTAAAATCTGCCGGTGCATGAGTGATAACTCTTTTTAATGCATTGTCAAAGTTGCAGTTGAAAGCTGGATACATTGATTAATGTTGTTTTTGTTTTGTCTGCTGCCTTGGGGGTTATGTTTTGGGCTAACCGTGTAATAGAAGGTGCTTCTGCACTCATATCAGCCCAAATCTATACATCTGCTTTTTGCTCTTGGTGTTTCCTATGCTTTAAGTTGTGACTTCAAAACAGAATGATCCATCATAAACTAAACTTTGAGCAATAATCAAAAACTAATTTTAATGTCTAAACAACTAAGATCACTCTAATCTTGCGGGAATTAAAAGATGAGTAATTCAAGGCAAGGAGTTTGAAAATGAATGCTCTCACTTGTCATCAGAGTTTTTTCTCATTCCTCCTGGATTTGTCCCCCTGTGCTCTGGCAGCAGGTGCTCTGGCAGCAGGTGTATCTGTCCTAGATGTGGAGCTGGATCTGTTCCTCTCCTCACACGCTGACATCAGTGCTCTCAGCGGCGGATGAGGCAGAACAAGGCGAGATTTTACTACCTGGCTAAATTGCCCCAGTGATGGAAAAATATTGTTCAAGGAACAAAGCTTGAATAATTGAAAGCTGCAGGATTTAAATTTTGCAGGGCTTCACTGTGATTTCCAGTAAAGAAGTTGGCCACCTTAACAAAATATTCATATCATTTAGGGATGGATATATCAGGTACTGCCGTCGCCTCTTGCTCTCGTAGTCAGGCTGTATGTTCTCGTCATCCCGTCTGTCATTGGTTGTAAAATCCTTTCTTTTGAAAGGAACTAACTGGGATTTCATCAATATTTTTTAGGCATAGAGTATTTACTTAGAACTTCAAAACAATAATGTTAAGCCCTTCTTTAAAACAGAAAAGCAACAATTATTCCACCATGCCTGCTAGAGTAATACATAGATCATAGTTTTAAAGAAAAATACAATGTGTCCTCTCTGTTTTTTGGACTGTGATGAACGCAGTGAGGCAAGCAGCTTAAAAGTAGGGAAAACAAAATTGTGAGAAAATAAATCATTGGAAAACTTTTTTCCTTGTCATATAAATGTTTTTATTGTCTCTGTCACTCCCCTGCCCCCTGCCCTCTCTTCCTTAAATCCTTCCCTTTGTCATTCTTTAATTCTATCCTCTGTCCTTTTTCCCTTTATTCCTTCTCTTTATTGTTTTCTCTCTTCTTTTTATCCCCCTGTTATTTTGGCCCTCCACATTGCTTATGTCATTCCCAGTACGCTCACTTCCTTCCTATCACCACTCCATTTGTCCTCCCTTATCTTCCTCCCAGTGTACCTGTTCTGATTTTGCTTCATTTTATGTGTCCTTTTTATACCCTTCCTTCTTTTCTTCCTTCCTTCCATCAAGAAAGGAAGCAGTCTAAGCTCCCCTTAAACCAGGCATGCCCAAAGTCGGTCCTCAAGGGCCTCTTTCCTGCAGGTTTTAGAGGTTTCTCTGCTCCAGCACAGCTGATTTTAATTCAAAGCTGATTAACAGGCTTTTGCTCAAATGCAATCATCATAATCAGCTTTGCTAAAGCAGGGAAACCTCTAAAACCTGCAGGACAGCAACCCTTGAGGGCTGCCTGCCTTAAACACTAGAGCTAAGAGTGCTAAAAGTTATTGTTAAGCAGCAAAACATATATGAAACTACCTGCTTAGACATATTATTGGTTTTCATCTATAGGGGTCAATGTTCTCTTGTCTTGCTATTAACTCCACGACTTCTTAATCTCCTGGTCGGATCACAGTGGCTAGAGGGAGAATGGCTCCTTCCGAATTGTAGCTCCTACCTCTTGTTTGTTGCTCCTATCCGTTCAACATCTTATAAATAAATACATAAAAAAATAAAATACATATTCTAAAATAAGCATGCACAAAGAACTATGTTAATCTGCAAGCAAATCTAGACATAAATCCAGAGTTTACTTATGCCAGACGTCCACACTGGCAGTTTAGTCTATTCTTTCAGACTTTAAAAATCTTTTTTGGTAAATTATTTAATTTCAACCATAAGGCAACTAAAGGTTTTAATTCATATTCCAATTTCAACCTTTTTATATGTAAATGTAGATACCCTGTATACAGCTTTTTTCCTTACTGGTCTATATACGTTTGCTAGTGAACTTCTGAAACCCACACACAAAGAAGTTTAGACCGGAAGTTTTGGACATTTCTTCATCTACTACATATTATATGTGGGGAATAATAGAGACGTAAAGATGCATTACACTGAACACAAACACAGCAAATGTTCCTCATGGGTTGCCTGTCATTGATAGCTCGACATTTTGCTTTTCCACACAATCTGTATTGACAACAGCAACAGCGCTGTGAAATTATGCCCAGCTCAATTAAACCGCCTCAGTAAATAGCGGGAGCCTCTATCTGCTTGCTGGTTCCTGTTGTCAGTTCAATTAAACTTGGCTGATCACGATTTTATCTAGTGGGTCGTCAGCAACAGACCAATCAACGATAACAATTTGTCCTGAAGTGAAAATGTCCTCCCCTGCAGGAGCAGCTGGTCTTTGTCAACTTTACCAGAATTTTGTATAGGTAGACATGGCAGATGTTTGAATATGATAGATAGTAATTTGTATTTATTTGTTTTGTCTGTAAAATAAAAAAGTTTATTACTGATTTTGAGTCATTGATAAAGTTGGGTAGTCTTCACCTTTGAAAAATGAAAAAACCTGGGGAATATTAATAAAATATTAATAAAAGAGAAAAAGTAGGAACTATATATTTACATGAGAATATTGTTTAAAAAAACATCTAACAAAAGACTAAATGTTCTTAGTAGGGAACATGTAATTTAGACACAAAGTATCTATGGGAAGGAGCACAATTCTTATATTCCCAAAACAGAAAAAGGAGCCGTAAAAATCATAAAAGATAAATAGGCCTGCTGTGAGCAACTGAACATGACATTAATCAACCAAAGCTACTGGTGGTTAATTTGTACAAACAGATCTTTTTTGTCATAATTTCAGTGTTTGCTTCATGATTAGCACAGAAACAGCTTATGTTGCCAAATTAATTATGAATGTGTGTTTGGAAACAAACTGCATCCACGGCAATGTGCCCTGCTGATCATACATGTAATAAAACATGTTTCCGTTTCCTTCTTGTTTATATTCACACACCCACCTTTATAGCCCCAAAAGGTGTCAAAGCCAGTCTGATTGTGTCTTTATTATTTTCCCTACATCTGTGGAAATTCTGGGCTTTTATGTTTTTTTTTACTGCTTCAAAAATCTTCACTGAATTGATGTGGAAATAAAAATACTGCCTGTTTTCTTTGCCTTTAAGTTTGTTGTTAAGTTAGAAAAAGGCCTCATTAAATACCTCAGGTAATCTTGCATGTCACTATGTCGCTGTTAAAAGTATTCTGGTTTGTTTGAGCAATCTTTTATTTGGCATAAATCTGCATCATATGCATTGATTGGAACATGTCCTTAACATAACAGACAATTAATTGTCTCCTGAATGCTACTTAACAAAGGGATTACATGAAAATCACTCCTTCCAACTGCATTATTCGGATTCAGTGTCGAAGCATTCAAAGGAAATGGCGGTCCTTGCTGCTGCTGTACAGGACTCTTGCTTTTTTCAGCCAGCTAACTGGCAGTCTGCAGCAACATGTGGGATAAGAAATTAGTAAAAAGGATTGTTTTCCTTTGTGGTTTTATACTATATTGTTTTAAAGGCAACAATGTTTTTGTTTTCTCATATATTTTTTGAGATATCTCATATGTTAGTAGTTTCTGTATTTTTAGTCTCTTTACTGCAAGGTTAATAGAGATGACACAGTTCTCATCTAATAAGCTGATATATTTTTTCTTTCTGCTTTCCTATTTTTTACTAGAATGTTGTCATATCCCAGTGCATACTCGAGTTTTCCAATTAAATGGTTTATTTTGAAGCTCCTCTAATTTGCATGGCTCATTCAGGGACCATCTGGGAGAAGAACCCTCCTAATTTCAGAGCCCAAATCAACATCCCACATAAAGCGTATGAGAGAGGCCATGTTCTTTTTTTCTTTTTTTCTTCTTCTACCCCCTCACTGTTTGATTCATTTGTGTTTGTGTGTGAGAGCTTCATGTGAGGTATTGTGAATGCAGCTGACTGCTGCAAGGATTGTTTCATTTCCCACAGAGAAAACGAATTAAATTATGACACCTTTCTCTGCTGCCTCTCATCTGCAGCTTTTCACTCTGTCGAGAGATGACAAAGCCGCTAAATATAGGACCACAAGTGGAGTGTGAAACCTCTCCACCTCACTTTGCGTTTATGTGGGTATATGGCAGGTTATCACAAAAACAAGAGGTTTCTATGATAATCTGGACAAAGGTTTAATCGTCTCTCAAAGCAATGCGATGTGCGTTTTTGGAGTAAAAAAAGATGTTAATAGTTTCATGTCAGTATATTTACTTTTGCACAGTGCGCAGAGAGGACTGTAGAAATAAAACCAACAGAAATGTTGACAGAGATGGATTTCTTTAATATCAGGAGTGTCTTATTAAAAACAAAGTCATACACAAAAAGTACTCTGTTTGGTAACTCGGAAAAACTCTTAGTTGCAGTAATGATCTAGAAAAAAGTTGGAATGCTTCATTGTTTCAAATAGTAATTATACCCTCATTAAACAGTGAATGAATTGAATTTGTCTACTGTAAGACAAACCCAGGGAGACAGAGATGTTTCATACCACCTTTAATTATTCTAAAGGGCACTAGCGTTTGTTCAATTGATGTTCTGTTCACTTTTTTTTTTTTTTTTTTTATAAATTATTGAGTACTTAATTAAACTTTAAAGGGCAATACTTTTTTGCATAAGAAAGCAGAACAATTCTTTATGCTTTTTCTGTAAAGAAAATGCAATTTGTCCCCCTTACAGACTCCTTTTCCTCTATATATGCTTTTCTTTTTGCTTACGCTTACATGTTTCAGTTAGATAACCTATGTACAGTAAAGATACT